AATCGTGGGGCAGTACCACCTCTAATTATTACGGTGAGAAAATTATAAGTATAATCGACAGTCATAACTTATGTATAGTTAACTCGGGTGTACCAACACGTAGAACTGGCCCAAATGAAGGTGTTAGCGTCCCTGATATTTCTCTGTGTTCTTCTGATTTAGCTTCTTCGTTTTCGTGGTCTCCTCACTACTCATCATTCGGAAGTGATCACTTTCCCCTTATTTTATCTTTACCTCATTCCATTCCTCCAATTCGGAAAACCGGTCCTCGTCTTAAATATAACTTAATGAATGCAGATTGGGTGACGTTTAAACAATATGTAGGCAATAGGATTTCAAAACTACCTCCTGTTTCTCACGGAAATGAGCACCAATGTTCGAATAGTTTAGTAATGGTTATGAAGGAAGTTGCTGATATGCTATTTCCTATAAAAAATAGTGCTTCAGGAAAAATTTACGTTAATTTATTTTAAAACGTTAGTATTTTAACCTCAGATATTCACATAGCATTTTCGCAAAATGTGTCGATTTTATCAGCTTTCTTGGATATTAGTTCTGCCTATGACAACGTCCTAATTACAATTCTTAGAACTAAATTGATAGCCTTGAATATTCCATTTATGCTTGCTAATTTTATTATTAATATTTTGTCAGAGAGAACAATAAAATTGGATTTAGGTGATGATAACAAACTATCCAGATCAGTATGGAAAGGTCTGCCTCAGGGATCAGTACTTAGTCCAATTTTATTTAATATATATACATATGACCTTGAAACATCTCTTAGCAAATCCGTTAAAGTATTGCAATACGCGGATGACCTATTAATTTATTTAATAGATCATTCAATTCAATCTGCCTGTCAAAAATTGTCTGATAATCTTGACTTGTTGAAATTATGGTTAGACGCAAATGGTCTCGAACTTTCTGTATCGAAAAGTAGTGTAGTACTATTTACAAGAATGCGATCACCACCGCAAGTGAAGGTTTTCTATGATAGTTGTTACATCCCGGTTAAAACAGAGATTAAATTTTTAGGCATCGTCTTAGATAATAAATTAACTGGTTTATCCCACTGTAATTATATTTCTGCTAAATGCGAACGAAATCTAAATATTCTTAGATGTCTAGCAGGTGTATGGTGGGGAGCACATCCGTATTCTTTAAAACTAGCGTATAATGGCCTTATAAGGAGCGTCCTTGATTATGGAACTTTTTTGTTAGCGCCGGGAAGTTCTTTTGCCTTTAAGAAACTGGACCTAATACAATCCAAAGCTTTGAGAATTATATCCGGAGCAATGAAATCAAGCCCAATCAATGCTTTACAGGTTGAAATTGTAGATCCACCTCTAGATTTAAGAAGACAATATCTAGCTGATCGTTTTCATGTTCGCTGCTTACAGTTGTCTAACCATCCACTTATCTTAAAACTTCCACAAATACATCAGTATGTTACCTCATCTTCTTATTGGATACACAAAAAACCTCCATGTTTAATAAAAAGCTTTGAAAAATATAAAGGAATATCTGCACCAATGTTTACTTCCTCTTGTTCTCCAGTCTATAAATACTCATATGAATCTCTGAATTTATGCCCTAACATTTATTATGACATAGGAATTTACAAAAATGATACGGAACAGGCAGCTAAATTCAAATTTATAATAGACACACAATGGAATGGATGGCATTGCATTTTCACAGACGCCTCAAAATCAAATAATTGTAGTTGTGTAGGTGTTGGTGTATTTCACGTGCAGTATAATATCGTTCAAAAAATTAAACTTCCACCAGAGTCATCAGTGTTTACTGGGGAATGTATGGGTATTTTAAAAGCAATAGAATATGTACATATAATGAAATTACAAAAAGCAATCATTTTTACTGACTCAATGTCTTCACTACAAGCGTTAGACAAATATCCTTTAAAATCGAAATCACTTCATTCTATTATTTACGATATACGAGAAAAACTTCAACTGTGTACATTAAAAGAATATTCCGTTTCTTTTGCTTGGCTACCGGGACATTCTGGTATTCCAGGAAATAATAGGGCAGACCAAATTGCGAAGGAAGCTGTGCTTTGTGGAGATATGTTTCCTTATAAAAACTATTACAATGACCTAGCGAGTCTTCCAAAGTTGTATCTTAATAAATCTTGGAAGGAATATTGGCAGAACAGTATTAAAACGAAAGGAAACCTTTACTATCAGGTACAACCCGACATTCCTATAAAGCCCTGGTTTTGTGGGATAAAGCTCGGGAAGACCGCGACAACTATATTAACTCGTATGCGTCTTGGTCACGTGTGCACACCGTCTCACCTTTATAAACTTGGTATTGTAGAAAGTTCCTGTTGTAGCTGCGGTACTGAAGTGGCTGATCTAAATCACATTTTTTTCTCATGTCCGGATCTTGATCACTCCTCCTTGTTAAAACATCTCAGATTCATCCGTATCCCTTTCCCTACCTCTTTTACAACTCTTCTTTTTTCCAATGATCCTATTATTTATAAAATTTTAGCTGAATTTATATATTTAAATAGTATTAAAATTTAATATAATGTGTTCCGTATTGTATGTATATTATTTGTAAATATCGTATCCTATATAATTTCCTAACCTAATCCTTATCTCTATGCTACAAAATTTTCGTTGCTAGATATAAATTAATGACGTTTCCCCGTTTTGTTTTTGGCGAAATACCCTAAAATCGGGGTGAATGCCATACCACAAGAGAAAAAAAACAAGCTTGTCAGATTGGGACACAATCGCTTCTTTTCTCATACATTAAATATACGTTTTTATATATATAATAAAACCATACAACTATTGTAAATACACAAGAATATTACATTTATACATAGCCACCACTGGACTCGTTATTTAATCTTCCTCCTCCTGTCGCTGCCAGTACCAGCTGAACATAACATAAATAATAGCTGTAACAATATAGACGCTAAATTGGTGACCCACGACGTTCCACGACAGCACAGCAGACACGGTGAAGCGTGAACCTACTCCAGTCCAGGTGCCATCTTTCCTACATTCCTTCTCCTTACCGGCATTCTTACCATACAAGATCTTATCACCATCGACCATCACACAAGTACTCGCCGTCGTTGTGCCGCCCGCGCCGCCCGCCGCCCGCCGCCCGCTTATGATCACGTTATATTTTACTGCTTGTTCTGAGTCCATATACGTACTAGTTTTTTATAGATGTTTCATATTTTTGGGGTACAAGTAAAAGGCTCCCAATTATTAGAATGTAGTAAAAAAAAACGAATCCTCGCGGTTCCCCCTGGAAACCATCGTGTTAAATTCCTGGTGAATTTGCACAATGGGCTGACATGACCTGACCTCATGCTCATCTTATCATCCTCCACAGGTGCCCCGCCAGCGTAAACCGTTAGCGCAGGCGATTTACAACACTGAATCAATTGTCAATTTAAAAATGTTTTCTACTGAACTGAAGAACTTGTATTCATGGTCATATATAAGGCATTTAAAAAAAAAACATGATTTTCCAAATTAATTATTATAAATTGGCCTTTGGCGTCATCACTTAAACAAATATGAAGAAGTTTAATCGTAGACTAGGCTGTACGGTCCAAGGATCTTTGCCTGTTCCATCATTGAATAGTGGACTTTGGCTTCATCACTTGAGCAAATATGAAGAAGTTTAAACGTAGACTAAGCTGTACGGTCTAAGGATCTTTGCCTGTTCATCATTGAATAGGAGATGGACGAATATGGAAAAAAATATATATTATAATCAAAGAGTAAAGTAAATTATACCAAAAGAATTATAATACTATTCCACATACAAATGGAAACAAGTGTACACTTTTCAAATAGATATATTATATATTTAACACAGGTCTGAGAGATATGATATTGAAAACACTTTTACAATTTTTTATGTAATTCGACTCACATCACTCTTATCTCTTTGTTTGACTACATGAAGTGCATTATAAAAATAAGCACTTCCGAATACTTCGCAAACTATAACTAATATATATATAATTGTAGGTTATATTTATCTAAATAAAATAAAGTAAATAGACACGAAACAAAACTGGTATAAAATACTTTTTCTAAACGTGTGTTATTCCTAGATGCTGTACCGTTCGTAGTTTCGTAGCACATAATCAATCTGAACTAGACCACAATTTTTTATACTGGACTTATCTAATTCTGTATATATATATATATATACCGAAGAGAAGTTAGACACAGAAGAGGAAACACTGCTAACGTACGTGACTTGTAAGTATGTTCAGTGATAGCTTATACAGGTTTCATACTAATTGCAGCCTATTTTTTTTATGTGCATAAAATGGAAAATAACCTGTCGGCTCACCTGTAGGCAAATGGTAATATTGTCTATATATACTAAACAGCACTAAGGACAAGCACATTAGCATGCAATGGAAGGACTGTACAGCATATACAATCGATTTCGGCGGCGGGGAGGGGTAGGTACGCCCCCCCCCCTCGATGGGTGCTTGCGATTCCTAAGTTTTTTTAATATGATAATTGTATGTTGTAATTTTATTATGAAAATTTAAAGGTTAGGATGCATTTCGCAATATGTATATCTAACAGATTTTGGTAGATACAATTTCAATTAAAATTCTAAAAATTAATATCTCAAATAATATGACTTTCCGCACATTAATTTTATGGAGTAGTTAGACTAACAAAAACAGGTACTATCAAACATAAAATTTTCAACTCTCAAATTGATTGTATAGATTATACAGGTTAGCCCATGCGATGCCCATGATACTGCTCTTGCGTTGCCATTCCAGAGCACATCATGTCTCTTATCCTGCAATTTAGCTACCATTTGACACCCTTCTTTTATATTAATATTTAATTTAAATTTAAATGTAATAAGGCCTACAAAATATTTATATTTGTAGGTATTAAATTATACAAAATTTTGTTTTTACTATTACAGGTGAATACAATAATAAAACACTTATAAACACTCTAAAATTTATGTCAGTGCAAAAATAGGCTTAAGTCTACTAAAAGTATAAAATAACATACATTATGTTAGACTTAAAATATAACATTACATAAAAATATCACAAATTTATTGCGATAACTGATTTGTACTTGAGGTAAGAAATAACAGTAGAGGCAAATATACACTTGATTTGGCAAACAAACAACATTATTACTAAACACTTCAAGGCACACAAGGAATGTTACCAAAATTTTAAACAATGTTCTCTATAGAATATATAAAAGCACGGAAATAAATTCTACTGTAATCCATCAACACTGGTTTCACCAATACTCCCTCTACACTTTGTTTTTTGTGAATTATGTTTTGTAACTTGTCCAGCACTAATTTCTCCTTCACTCTTCAAAGGCAGAATGCCGAGAGATTGTAAATCTGAACTATATTTGGAAACTATTGATGCTGAACTTGTATCTGAAGTGGATTCAACTCTATTTCTTCTTAGCTTTTTCTTTAATTTGACTTCACCTAAACTGCTAATTTCTGAGGAAGAGTTATCTCCATCTAGAGAACTGGTACTAGTAGAAATTGTAAACTTTCTAAACGTCTTAGTTCCTTGAAAATTTTCTTCTTTTTGGTATATCTTGGATACATTTTGATTACAATTTTCTAGATTTGAAAGTATTTCCTGAGAATTTTGTGGTAAACGCAAATTAAATCTAGGCGAGGATAAATTAATAGATATTCCAAGGTCATCTTCATTTTCAATCTCTAACTGTAGTTCTTCTTTGCTTGATACACATGTCATAGGGCTGGTATGTTGATCTACTGACAACAATAATTTAAAAGGTGATGTAGTTCTAGTTTTTACTTTAGTTGGAGAGGTCATTACACATTTTACATGTACAGGTGAGGTTTGTGTATTTTTTTGAAATGCAACTATATTATTTTGATTATCTTCCATGTTATTATTCCGAGATGTAGAAGGCTTATTAAAATTCTCCAAAAAATCACCATACTCATCAATTATGAGCTGTTTAATAAAATCTTTTTCTAATATTAGCATTTTTTCAAGTTCACCTTTAGGATCGAGTGTTGGCCACAAGTCGTTATGTATTGGTTGAATATTGAATGTTTCATTTCTTGGAGATGTTTGAGTTTCTTTTAAAGATATTTTTTGCGAAGTAGTGCTTTGGGTCGCAGTATCTTGTGTGTCAACTAAATGTATAAATTCGAAGACATCTATTTTGTTTTTAATTGATAAATTTGATGTTTTTATGAAAGTCTCATTGGGATTTTCTTTTTCACTTTCCGAAGCATTTTTTGATTTATAAGAATTGATTAAGTTCTGATCAGAACTTGACATAATAGAATCAAATGGTGATTTGTTACTCTTACCTTCCTTGGAATGATCTGTGTGCCCGGATTTATCATCTTCAAAATCATCGGCATAACTATCTTCGTTTTGATCATTACTTGTAATTGAAATATTTGTTGATGTTGGTTGTGTATTTTGTGCAGTTTTTGACAATGTTTTATTAATAGTTTTCTCAATGTCAATTACTTCTTGAAGTAAATTTTCATCAGAAGTCGAAAGTATGTTTTCATTATCTTTTTGTTTGTTTTTTTGGGGCATGTCTTTATGAAAAGAATTTTCACGACTTTTTAAGATTCGGTCTAGTATTGGACTTATAGCAACGTCATGCTTATTAGGTATGTCAGACAATTCCTTCTCAATATCACTTACTCTAACACCACCTAATGTCAATTGCGAGTATGGTATGTATTCAGTGTTATTATTTAAAATTTGAGACTGTTTATTTGATGTTTTAGGACGTGTTATATTAGAATTATTTTTAGATTTTGGTAATTTTACCGCATTTAAATTTGATGTGTGCCCATAAACTGATTGTAGTTTTCGCTTCCATTCTTCTAAATTTAACTGTGATCTATTATCTGATTGTTTTCTATTAATTAAGGATTTAGGAAGTCTCCCGATATTACGTGACGATGCTCTAGTAGAAAATTGAGTTTTAACTTGCCTTTGAGTTTTCGGTTTATATTGACTATTGGAGCTAACATTGTTATTGGAGCCACTGCTATCATATGTCGGCATCCTTGAAACTTTTCTTATAGACTGTTTCTCACAGGCATGTGTCAATTGACCGTCTTGTTTTTTATCAGCAGTTTTAAGCTTTTGTTGCAACGTATATTCCGATTCATGTTGTGTAACAATAAATGCTACATTATTTTTATTTATACTTACACCTTTCTCAACTTTACTATCGGGCAAAATATCAAATTGTAAAACTTTTTGTTCTCTCAATTCACTTCTTATATTAATTCCTGGCATTTTCTGAAGATGTAATTTTTTATATTGAGTAGCAGTGATGTTTGGTTTAGAATATTTATAAGAGTATTCACAATAGGCAATAGTAGGACAGTTACTGTTTATTTTCGTATTATTTAAAATGTTTTCTTTATAGCCAATGTTATCTTTTTCATCAATGTGTATCACATTAGTACGTGACAATCCTAGCTTCCGTATACTTGTTTTCTTAAGTATAGATGTCGGATTTACTTGTACTCCCGCGCTTATTTTAGGTTTTTGTAAGTCGTTGGCCAGCGACTTCATTCCATTGAACTCCTTACTCAGATCAGATACACGTGGATGTGAATCTTCAGTTATTTTATAACCATTAAATTTGGCATTTACAATTTCTTCTATATGGACTTTTTCATTAAATTCTTCATCTAAAGGAGTTGGTAGCGATTTGATTTGTACTCCAGGCTCATGTTGCTTAGATAATTCTTTAGAAAGTATTTTTAAGTCATCTGCAGTTGTTTGTAACATTTCATGTAATCTTTTTAATATAATTTCGTCTTCAGGTTTTAAAGCTGGCTCTGGATTCCAAATATCATCATTGATGATGTTAACCATTTCAAATTTCTTACTACTTTCAACCTGTAACATATAAGAAACATAATTGTTTACATTTTTTTTTATTTAATCAACTATTAAACTCATTTATTATAGCATTATTATTATACAGTATTAACAATAACATATAACCACTAACCACAGCATATCTCATATGAATGAGGACAGTTACATTTAGTAGGAATATGGGTGATACCCCGTTATATCTAACAGTTTTGAAATCCTTTTAAAATATGTCGAAAATTTAGTACTTACGTAGTACTTTTCAAATTGAGTATCATACTTAAGAAGACTGAAACTTTAAAGAATATAAAAATTATGAGACATGTTTATAAATGAATCTCAAATCTCGCAAATACTTACATACAAAACAAAATAACAAATACCACAAGCTCTGTTTGGCTTGGAAGTATATGAAGTTAACAATATATGTTAATATTGTTAACTTCACTTCATACACCAATTGTTAGTAACGTATTAAGGCAATGGAAAACAAGAGCTGGTTTGTCATTCCAATGACTCAAAAAAATGGTATAGAGTACTAACCAAATATCTATCAACTGGGTACCGAGGAGCGTCAGTCCTCATCTGTTGGTCAGGCAAAGTGGTTCTGGCATTCGCTCCGTTGACGCTGTTCCAGTAGTTCGTTCTGTGGACAGGAAAATTAGGTAATTTTAATACAATACTTTTTATGTAAAGGCCCACGTTTTGTAACTTCATAAAACATAATACATGAATGAAAACAATGGGTATAATAGATATAAGGCGACAATATAAATGTGTGCATGTGTGAGACAGCAAGCAATCATATATTTCTGAAGTATATATATGTATATAACAAAGAGAAATATTGTAGTAAATGAATTGAAATTCCGGAAGAATGAATAATTATAGTTATTCATTGTGTATATTATTAAAATTTATTGTATCCTGTTTAATACTTTAGAATAATCTCTAATCAAATTATGGATAAGTATATCTGAAACTAGTATATAAAGAGTACCTCAGAAACTAGTATAATGGTATTAAACTTCATTTTTAAATTAAAGTTACATTATATACGATAGACGATCTTTATACGTGTTCTAGTTACATGAAACACATAATAAATTTCTTATAGACCCACTAAATATGCCTTGCAACTAATATAGAGGTGGGGAGGATATTAGTAACGGGTATTAGAGGCGCCATTTTGTCAAAATGTCCCTTCATTTAGGTTTTTATTTAAATACTAATGTAGTTCATTAGTTTTTCATACTACGCACCTATTAAAGCATATTGTGACCTTTAAAAATAGCAACTGCTGTTTTTAAAGGTAAAACGTACAAAATGGAATATTTGCATTAATTAAATTTATTTGTATATCTTATTTATAACGCCATCTCGTTCTGATTTTAATCATCATGATCGATCATTTTTGACTTATTGTCAACAATTTTGTAAGGTACAGAAATTATTTAGAAAAAATAAGTCATAGATACTCGATGTTTTTTATTGGGATAGGTTTGAGAGCGGGTTGTGAGGGTTAAATAAAAGTGCATTTGTACAAAATCACATCAATTGTATTTTCACCAACATGTACATTAACGTCTTAATCGAAGCATTTCTCTTGCTGCTTACAGTAAGAAAGAGACGACTCTCAAAATTAAGTATGTATATACTTTTATGTGTCGAATTTCTATCGACATCTACAAAGAAGCCTATGGATAAAGGCGGACTATAACAATCTGGCGTCTTAAATGTATGACAGTTTATGTAATATAATCATATTATTTAACCATAAATAAAATAACAACTAATTGTATACAAAGAAAAAAACAAAATGTCATACATATATATGTATTATACACGATAGGAAACATTTCTGAAATAGTTTAGCCAAAGTATTGTTAGTTGTCATACATTTAATACAACAGTAGTACAAAAGTAAAATGCACATTTTGTGCTTACAATTTATCAATGTCGCCCATTGGCGAGCACTAACTAACAGTCGACAAACCCGATGCCGGGTGGAATTCCACTGACCATTGATAATACTAACAATCAATTTCGAATCTACCAGAAACGACAGATTCAAGAAAACATCTATCATTAATTTTAAGTACTTATCATAAAAGTTTGTGAACAAATAAGTTTATGAATCAGTTAGTCGTACAATTACTTAAAATCGCCTGCATCTAAGAAAGAAAATTACATGCGATTATCTACATCGATTAAAATATATTTGCATTAATCACCAATTTAGGTGACAATAGTACATATAGAATCTGAGGATTTTCAGAAACGATTATAAAAGTTTAATGCGGTAATAGCTGACTAATACTGTATATAGAGTTTAGTGGCTGTTCCAAACATATATTTACAATTACATAGAACATATATATACAACATACGTATATGTACACAATTATATATATCTCTAAAATAAATAATGGACATCTCAATTTAATTGAATGTACTAACATGCGTTGTTTATAGACATAACGTCTGAAGTTATTGATTATCGCATTACATTATTCAAAGCAACATTAATTAGACACATTTTTAAATGTAACAAAATATATCCACATTATCCTACCAGGACAAGTGACATACAAAAAATAGTAAAACAAGTTAATATTAAATTAGAGCAAGACCAAGATCGAAAATAACGTACTAAAACAATTTGAAGCCAGTAAAAATGCAAAATAACACCCAAGACGTCCAGCTTTCTGATAGCCTTCGAAATTGACGTACACTACTACTTTTTAACATTAATGACATATATAATGATAATTACTTCACTTTATACAAATATAGCAGCGAGTTTTAAGAGTTCCTATAACGGCCGCGTGTTAGCGGTTCTGACAATTTGACATTTCATAAAATGACTAGGTACGCCCCCAACATATGTAAAGCGATTCTGCTAATACTGCCACCATCTTCTACCCACCGGTCGCATCTCAAACTGAGCCTATTTTACTGCCACCACGTAAATCTGAATGTATACGAGTCCAACGAGTTCAATGAATCAGCTTGAAGCACGAACGGGGACTTACTTTCCCCTCATGACATCTGACGCATTAAATTATTCTTACAAATTAATCAACTCAAATATCCACTCCAACGAGGTCACGTATAAAATATATAGTATTTAATATTTTTCCAATCAACAGAATATGAAACAACTAGGTACATAACGACCAAGTAAACAATAATACCTGAGTATTATTTGTTTGACAGATTGTTGTCATCGAATGCAAGACGGTAACGGAACTCGAGCCACTCTAATACTTAAATTGATAGTAAAAAAACACTATTTCATATGTATTGAATGTAATAAATACAAATATACATATATTTAATAATATCTGTACAGGGAGCGACATGCTTCCAATCAATATCCAAAACTATGCTTTTACAATCAGTACACTCGACTACATGTTATAATGTCATGATCGTATATCATATAATACTCGTATAATATATAAGAATCACATAAATAAATGCCAAGTTCACTATGGTTCAGGACCTACGGGTAACTAAGAAAATGGCATGCGAAGAAATCTCGCTCACGAATCAGCGCAATTTTCTCGAAAAGTAACGTTATCTTACGCTACGAATAATTCAGATCAACATTATCGTTTCTGCAACGATGCGTTATCTAGACAAAAATTAGTCGAAAAATCTTTAAAAATTGATATGTACTCTATTCAGAATATCCCACCAGATTTGTGCATTAAAAAACTCGAAACCTTGAATTGGCTTTGCGAAATAACGGAGAAATATATAAATTTACGCACAAAATCAGATCCAATATGCTGAATACGGCCCATATCGTAGTTATCATTGCGGCCTCCGCTGCCGCTAAAATAAGTTTAGATTCGCCAAACCTTTTCAGTAAACGATCTAAACTTATAAGTTGACTATTTACAAAGTTATATACAAATGTTCGGTAGGTGTAGGCGAGACCAATCCCCGCCTCGCCGCGGAGCCGCGCGCCGGTGCGGCTGAGAGCTGACGGCCGGCGCTTGCGGCCTCGTGCCGCGGCTTGCTCGGTACTTCTCCCGTGCACAACGAGCGTTCACATCGGGAGAGACAAGAGATAGAGTCGGGGCGACACTACGCTAGCCTAAGTCTCCCGCTCCTTCTTCGGTTTGAACTCCTCACCAAGTATTGTTGCAATTTCACCCTGCATAAATGCCCATGGCACCGTCGAGTTTGCCAATGGACATTTCTCCCCACTTGGACAGTAAACCTAGAAAGAATAAGATAATATTATATTGTCTTGTCTACTATTTTTAGTTGGATTTATTTGTATCTTTCTGACCTAGTAATACTTAGCAAACACATACAGTAAGCCGATTCATCGTGCAGAAAATGTAAAAATCACATGCAATATTAAACAAGAAACTAACCTCTGATCCTTGCTGTCGCTTGATAGAATCCCGGGAACAGGGGAAGCAGAATTTATGGTGCGGTTGGCTAGGGCACTGGACGAAGTGGGTGTCCTCAAGGCGCTCTTGGCAAAGTGTACATTTGAGCAGTGGCGCTGGCGTTGGCGCTGCCGCATCTGTGCCTTCGCCTGCCTCTGTCGACGACACCGATGTCGTCGACGACACGTGCCGGGAGCCCGACGACCGCCGCCCGCCGTTCGACCCTGTCGGACCGGAGAGCAATTGTTAGCTACTGTCTGCTAATTGGAATCACGCGAAAGAAATCTACTCAGTACCGATTAAGTCAGCGTAACTGAACTACCGCTGATTGTCGAATTCTTAATTTAGTGACGTTTTATGTGACATATCCGCGAATATATAGGCGACAAGTCAGCAGACTGTAGCGGACGGCATGTGCGCGAGCGGTCGTCGGGCGCCATGCCGGAGCCGACATTAAAGCAGGTCGACTCCGACCCGCCGTACGATACGTACGGTAACTACAGAATCTATAAAATGTTAGCAAACGAAACTATTTTTGAGTTATTACTTCAGTATTTTCAAAATAACATTCGTGTGTGAAAATCTAGTTCCAATTGGAATTCAGTATCAGTCCATTTTCAACTGTAAATTAGATACGTACCTGATGAGTTAGGCGAATGTTGACTGGATCGACTGGCTGACCGCTGAGGTGGTGGCTGGGGTGGTGATCCGCCAGCTGACCGAGGCGAGCCTGGTGGTAAAGTATCCGCCACCGACATTAGCGCAGCCATTGGTGAAGGACCTGCACCAGCGGAGGCTCCAGTCACGGGAGGTGAGCCAGCTGTTCTACCCAATGGTGATCCTGCCGAACCGTTCGTCAGCGGCGCGCTGTTACCATACCCTGTAGATATTGTAAAATATACAAAAATTGTTAGCAAAACTAACGTAATCAAGAGATGAGACGATCATATTTAAAAGTCAGCACTTAGTTATATTTCACTATGCGTTACGTTTAAAAACGTTTAAGAAAATATATAAAATTGAATTCGTAACGAAATTTAATAATTTGGACTTTTTTAATGTTACGTGTATATATTATTATTGTTATTCACGTATAAACCGTAGTAAAAGTAAATGTAGTTTGGTATAATGAAGGATAATTTCTGGCAGGCATGACGTCGCGGCGACGATGCAATAGTAACGAACGACATAGCTTTCAGTTTGCCCCAATAACCTCACATTCAATGTTGGATGACACATCGTTTGCGGTGGACCGACGGATAGATCGTAAACACACGCTCGCACACGCATAATGTCATATAAATAGCGTGTGTTACGTAGTGAGCGGTGGTGTGTCATAGGTGGTCGCGTAGTGCTACTCGTAGATTTGGGCTAACTCCACCAGACTGACAATTCAAATAATACAAACACCCTCCATTATCGACACGGCTACTATCAACAACAACAATTATTAATCATTTATAATTCAGTGTAGTATTAATTTGTAAATTCTTTCTATACAGACCAGTATAGAAAGAATTTGCTGCATTAAGACCTAAGTCGTATGGTTAACACTATTGCCATAACAATTTCGTTACTATTAACAAGTCTATGGGTGCGTGCAGAGTTGTAGAAATGTTAGTTCGTGATGAAACATATCTAAGAGCTTGAATACATGGATAATATATTGCAAGGTTTATAGTTAATAATAAATACAATGCTAACAAACGTATAAATGTTCTGTCTTTGTACTCTCTAACTTTAACTTTTCTTTATTAATGTTGAAACAATGATATTTATATCCTTTTTAAATAAATTTGTTTCTTTTGTAAAAAGATATTTGATCAAACGCTGAATGTGTATGTGCCGCTTTGTTTACGAAAACGTCTCGTTTGCATTTGGGTAATGAATTCGCCTGTCATGAACTGAATGTAAACATATTCATTAGAGTAGCATGGTGTAGGGCATGAGTGACGGTCGGGTGCGCGGTGCAAAGGCTTGGCCCATATGGCGGTGGTGACGTCACGCGCGGTGACCTTTTTGGCCGCAGCTCGCGGCGGGCGGCCGCGCTCCCTACACACGCCAGCGGAATGTGGTCGGGCGGCTTTGCCAAGCGTAGGCAGGCTCTATATTTTTTCGCCCGACGAGCACCTACATACGTACGCGAGCGAAAATGTCGTCACGCAACGTTGCCACACCGCTGTTTCGTGCATGCATTCACGGTACGGTGGTAGGAACCGCGTTAACATTACGTGGGTGTTTGTACGTAGCGAGTTTGTGTGCGGGAGGCCGCAGGCGCGGGCTCGCTTTCGAGAACGCTCAACTAGTCGGACCGGTTTTGTATTTATGGACTGAGTTAATGCACCTACCTAGATTATGAATCCCGTGGCGAAACGCGCAAAACAACCAAGACCACGCACGTTCACGTTCGTTGTCTATCATGTGTGCGTGATGAAATAAAATAACTGTGTACATTTTCCAATATAATTGATTTACTCTGATATTATTGGTAAACAACGGAATGATCTTTGAGTAATATATAGTTATATGTCGTAAAAACTTAATTGGTTAGTCCATTTTGCTAATTATAATAGTCTTGAAAAATAAATAAAAACATTGGTAAACAGGTTTTTAAACTAAGCAGATACATCGAATAATTGTATTTCGAGTAATAGGAAAGGTACTGATTTGATCACTGTACTTATATGTAAATTCCTATAATATATAATTTTAACATTAAATATTGAATAGACACAGAGGTATGTGCAGTAAAGTCATGACATCCGATTATAAAGCATGGAATTAGCTAATCAACCTGCTGGGCTACAACAGCTTGCAGTGCATTTTACAAATGCGCATCAAAACTAAAGATATGGTATAAAAATAATAAAAAAAAGTCTGTAAAAGACAATTCTGTAAAAGGTTATACTTAATTATTTAGAGAGACGAGACGCTGACGCCACTATACGCAAATTTATATATTAATACCAGGTTTTAATATAATATGGCTAAATACCGAATACTAATACTACTGTAATTAATATTTATTAAACAAATGCTGATGTTCCTAATTAGCCAATCAAATATCAAACTAAAATTATTAAACAAAATGTGTATTGTTTTTGTGAAATCTATTATTGCGTGCGGTTTACGTGTTTCATCATACATACTATTTATTGATCAAATTATGGATCATTATGAAGAATTGCTTTTTATGAATTATGTTTTTATTTTATTTATAGTCCAAATTTATCAAATTTTAATCATTCATAAAATAACTAATCACAATATAAGAACACTAAAAATAACATAAATGTTTATATGAATTTAAACCGATGCTGACTTCAAAATAATTGCAAGTTTTACTTAAACATGTCTTACCGTTGGACTTAAATGACGCTGCATCAAAAGATGGAGTTCGTAAAGGATGTTTCTCCTGTTTGAAAACTCGGTCTGCAACGAAAGGTGCCGCCAATGATACTGCTGGTAAAGAATCGCCACGCGTTGGTGGTGGACGAGAATGCTCTTCCATTAGCCTTTTTGGCGGGTCGTCATCTTCCAACGGTCTTTTGAGAGATATGCCTGGAGCTAAACGTGCTCCACCATGTGCTGTCAAATGATGTGTAGGAAGATGCGTTAATCGCCGATTTTCATGTTCCTCGCGACGTCCTCCGTATTCTGCTAGAAGACCTGTAGCTGCTCCCCTAGGATGATGTAGAGCAAATCCAGCTGTGGGAGCGTGATGTGCCGGTGGAGCTGGTTGACCTCTAGTGGCAGTCTCGGCTCCATTTTGGTGAGCTTCCAAAGGAGCTCGATGAGTAGTTTTGGCATGTGTAGGTCCTCGACCTTCTTGGAAGCCATGGGCGCGCTTCAGCTGCCTAGCGGTGTCTAGGACCACTTCTATACGATCAGCGCCTTCATAATTGACACAACCACGACAAACTGCTTCCGAAAACTCATGCAACATTGCCCACGGCATGCGGGGCAAGTCGCACAAGTAACAGTGCTGCCGCTTTTGCATCACCGACATCTCGCCACCGGACGTAGTACGGAGTGCGAGAGATCGGCCTTCTTCGTTTCGCTTGAAAATTGTCACAAATTTTTCGAACTTTTAAAGAAAAACACCTTCACCATGGTACACACAGGCACACTGAACAAGTTCACAATCGGCTCCGAGAATGTCGAACAGAGATCTGGAACGTGTTAAGCACTCGCTACCCTAGCGAGTTGAGTAGAGACTGAGCTCGAGTCGAGGCGGCTGGCTACGGTAGAGGAGAAGGGGGACGGGTGGCAGCGGCCATTATCGAGCGGTGACGTCAGCGCGCGCAGAACGACGACGCGACGCGCCGCCGAGGACGAGCCGTTAGCCGCGACGCGCGGATGCGCTGCCGCGCCACGCCGCCGCACCGCAAACCACTCGCACCCTACGCCGACATGTTTAACGTCAGATAATGAATGCTATTTAATAAATAGATACTACATGCACTAGATGTACGCTCTAGTACATAGAAAAAATGTATTTATTTATTACTTGTTACGATTCAAATCTTACACAGACTTAAAACATGCTTTTTTATAACGCCTGACCTCTTTTCAAGTTAAAGATCATAAGTCAAATTAACTACATTATAAACGAGTTAGAAACAAATATTTAGATGTATGATTCGTATACCAAAAAAATTATGATTTTTACGTTACTTTTAAGATTTCAAGTAAGCTACATCTTATGAAAATATAAAACTTAAGATAAAATTTGAAAAGTATAGCTTACAAAATGACTCACGATTGCGCTCATTAGGTCGAGCCCTCAATTCAGTTAGGCAAGTCTATAAAATTCAACGAAAGTAAAGAGCTTCTGTTGTAGAATAACAATTAATGTTAACACGTATTGTGGACGTGTTCGATGCATTAAATTTAAATCTATTCTCGGTCTGTTTCCTTTCGGTCGACTGCATTCTAAATTATTATTACCGCGCAACACGAAACGGATCCGGTTGGAAGCGGGGGGAGGACCGGTATGGCGGCCATGTTGAGACGTGACGTCACGTGACGAGTCAGAGCAGCGTACGGAACGGCAACGCTGCTCGCCTGCTGCGCCATGTTGCCGTTCATTTCTGTTGTGTTAATAATAATGAAGCTCATCGTTTTTTGTATGCGGTACGAGGATCGGTGAAAAACAGTTATGCGGCCAGGTAAACTACTATGACAAACCCGTGGAGACTGTGAGCAACGCTCACCAATAAACACCAAAATGAATAATACCGGGGTAGTTGAGTACCGACCTATTCCGCTATTACATTCATTAGTCATTTGTAACTATGTGTTCGTTCACTTTTAATCACAATATAGTTACACAATATACTTACAAGATTAAACGTCTTTACTTATGTAAAGTTTAATCTGTATTATACGAAAATTTTCTGAGATTTGTGGGTATATCGAGAAAACTCGTCTAAATTATAATCTTTCTAATTATCTTGACAATTACCTACATATATGACTTAGTCTAATGATACTGTAATATTTTATTTTTCTGTAAGTATTAATATAGTTTTGATAACTATCAATATGTATTTTATGCCTTTCTCTTTCATAGGCAATGGCTAGTGTCGGGCATTTTGGACACCATCCCGTGGTCGTCATAAAGGACCTTTACCTGTGTTTATAGGTAGATTCTGTAGGTTTTTGTCAAGGTTATCAGGTTTTAGAACAGAACCCTTTCCAAACCTATTAGTTCCACGGGTCAGTAAATCTTTTCTGGATCACAAATTTGTTAAATGTACTTAGATTATATGTTTTTTAATAAGATAAACATTTCTTTTTTAGTAAAAGTAGAATGACACGATTCACTTTTTACTACCTCATAATGAATTCAATTTCTGAAAGTACTTTTTTATCCAAATTCGTTTTTGTCAAATTCTGCAATCAGGTAATCCAATTTGTTTCTACCTCATCACGGTAGACGTATAATTCGATTCAGTTGCCATGTTATTTGGAACAAGTAAATCACAAAGCGATAGGTATAACTTCTATAGAATGGAAAACATTTGAACTTAACTGTTAATGCAAATATTTTAGTCAATACAACACATTCCTGTTTCTTATTTCTAGTCCTAAATAACCTAAAGATTCGACTAAAATAAAAGCTGAATGTCATGTTTTAGCACTTTAAATTGGTTTCATGCCTGCTCAATGTCTATTAATTAATAATATCACGTCTACTTTATACTGATAAAGTGAACCAAACTTATGAGGCAAACGCTGGCTGGCAGTTTATTCTTTTGAAAAAACGCCAATTATTAAATACTTCGCCAGTGAATTACACTAATTCTTTGAGATTTTATTTTATTCTATATAACGTTAACACACGGGTGCACTAAGAAATTATGGATTTTAGAAGCACTATCAACTGTAGGTACATGTTCTCCAGATCGTTTATCTATTAGCATTTTCATTGACGTCGTGGCAAGAAAGTTATTCCGAAGTAGTCCTTACAGACAGGCGTAGAGTCTTTATATTGATTATCTGGATTTACCAAACCAGTTCCCTTATTGCATGGCGCAACTAACTTTCTGTAATAAATCCCGATAGTACTTGATTTTATTTCATAAACAAGTCTTTAAGAATTTACGTATTACTCGTAGATATTCCTGGTACTAATAGAGAAAAGAATTATTCGTCTTACATTTTTATTTATTTTCGCAGATAATAACCTATTGTTAATGAAATAAATTATAATATTTCTATAAACTATATTTTTTGACGAAGACCACACGATGTTACATATTTCTGATTGCTACTATACCTACTATTACAATGACTACACTTGTGTAAACCTACGGACAAAGGCTGTCTGTAGGTTCTAGCTTTTTATGGAAGTAGAGGGGGAAGGCTCAGTTCTGGGATCGATGAGCGCACAGAAAAGTCCAGAACGCATGCGCTCAGCATAGATAACACGTGTCAATGTTTATTTACGTTCTGTGCATGTATACAGCCTTTCCCGCTCCGTATTCGGGTATCTGCGTTGAAACTCATAGTAACTATGTGGATGCGGCATATATTGCTTAACAATAATTGATATTGCATTGAATAATATTTGTATAAATAAAAAAATGATCACTGTCTGTTACATGGAAGGTCTATTAGAATATCTATTACTGGACATTATGACAAAACCCAAAACGATGATTGTTACAATTTTTGTCTGCGCGTTTTTATGCGCTAATCTCAGAAACGGCTTAAACTGATTTAAGTGCAGGTTTTACTAATCTAAAGTACATAATTCACATGAAATTTAGTATTTATTTTATACTAAAACAGGTAAAATAAAAAATAGTTATTTTTATATCGATTACCAGGTGTCTGTACCCGAGCTACCAGCTGAGTCAATGACTCTGTAGTCATGAGCTCAACTAGAAACTACATACAAATTTGAATACATTTTTACAATTTTGTTTCCTGCGAAGACTAGATTATATTATAGATATTTTTTAATAATATTACACAGGACCTATTGGTAGAACTCATTTATAGAGATGAGATCCAATTATCTATGAAGATACAATATAGCTGGAAGATATCTTTATTAGCGATAAGCCCACTCTTGGTCACATTTTTCTCCGTACATTACATTCTACATCTCTTAGTACATTCAGTGTGCGAAAAGCAGTAAATGTGAGGATAGAAAAATAAATGAATCAGCTGTTAAAATATTTAGATTTGTAACTAAACTCACTATGTAAAATATTAATGTATGGCTGATTACACAATTTCTGTGTTTACTATCTTAGACTACTATATATAAATTGTATATTAGTAGCTACTCGCCCCAGCTTCAGCCAATTGTATACTAGTACCCCGGGTGTACATGTATTATATATATAAACCTTCCTCTAGAATCACTCTTATCTATTTAAAAAAAACCGCTTCAAAATCCGTTGCGTAGTTTTAAAGATTTGAGCATACATAGGGACGGACAGACAGCGACTTTGTTTTATACTGTGTAGTGATGTAAAGAGATAACATAAAAAGAACAAGATGATCAGAATACAACAAGTAGATGTTTAGTGTCTTTCCAGAGTAGTGATTTGTGAAAAATGCAATGCGAAAGAGTTCGACATAAAACTGGAATGGAAACAAAGAACGGTTACTGCAGTGATAGTCTACTACGCAGTATAGATTTCAGTCAAATTCGATAAAGCCTGCAACATTGTAAAGATTAAAAACTGACACGTGTAGAGGAACCTGCGAATTATTTGTTTCTTCTTTTATTCTTTTTATCCAATTAAATTGGCAAATAAACTTACGGCCCACCTCATACTCACATAAGTCTGAGTCATTCTGGAGGACTAAGATGACATGTCTTTTATCCTGTAACTTCACTGCCTTATCTCAACCTTCAACCGAAATGCAGGTTACGTTAAGAGCTGCTTGATGGCTGAAATAGGTGAAAGTGAGGTATCCAGAGAGACTTAATCAAAATCCAGGTCGCTAAAAACCGTGAAGAATGCACTAAGAACAAAATTAAAATAATTAATTTTGCGAGAATTGTTCGTTATTTAATTAGTAAACAATATTGGTAGGTTATGCGGCAGAGAACCAGTTTAGCAAGTTAAACGACGCCATTGAAATCAATCTACCTATGTATAAATTTAAATTTGCTTACATGGAAAACAACTGCGAAACCTGTATTTTCTATAAATATATATTATTATCTAAACGTTTGCATTTTATGAATATTAACGAAAAATATTGTTACTTTATTAAAATTCTATTTCTTATTTATTGTTGCAATGTTATTTTTAGTCTTGAGCACTGATATATACTTTATGTACGATAAGATATAAAAAATCAGTAGGCTGCAGATAAGAGTATATAACAGGTATTTTTATTAAAAGAAATCAAAACAATGATGTTTTAGTATCGTTGTATATCAGTAACATCTACCAATATACATCTAATATAGTTACGTAGATATACACCCTCAGTCACATACCACACTGTACGCCTGTGGGACGACGAGATGGGTATTATTGTAGAATAAAAATAATAAACGAAAAATATAAGTCTTTTATTCTTGATTAGGACTTAATTTGAAAATTTAATCCTATTCAAGAATAGTAGGTAAAACCAACTTCTATTAACTTGGGAATATGGGCGTATAAAGACCGAGGTCGTAAAAAACTACTAGACTGATTTATCTTGGTATTAGAGTTACGTTTTTCAGATCAATAAAGTAACTAAATTCACCCTTGAACGCATAAAATGCTATGAATCGGGACGCTTGAGCACGAAAACGTTACATCACCCCCTGTAACTGGAGGGTTGAGTATCGATTGGTGACGTCACACCCCTCAACCTCTACAAGGCATTGACCACTTACAGCATTATAGAATACATCAGCTATATTTACTTATAGAGAAACATTAAAACCTTACCTAATGTGAATTTTTTAACGTTATTATTATTTAGGTATAAATAAATACATTAATCAGAACACTCATTTTCTATCTATTGAAACATATAATTATTATGAATATTTAGTCATTTTTACCTAAAAAGAGCTGAATGCCAACTAAAATATTTCAAAAGTAAAACAATATATATCAAGCAAATAGATTCTCAATAAATTGTGAAGTGAACATTTTATTTGTGACAAAACACATTTAAAAACTTAAAAGAATTATTATATGGTTTAAAGATTGTTAAAGTCTAAAGATCTCAAGTAGCTAGTATATAATATACCTACATAGAAATGAAATATTCTATCTATATATTAATTTATTTGTATATAATTATGAGTTATTAATTAATAAGAATATTTGCATAAAATTAAAGTACGCATTTATTTATTTAATATAATAATCAACACAAATCTATAATGACTGAATTCTTAGATATAAACGTAGGAGTAGTTCCGTAATTTGATCATGTTATCGTAATTCAATCACAAATTTCCGAATGATATGTTTGTTATGCAGAATAGTCCGACATTCTGCAAAGAATACATTTTTTATGCTTATATAAATAGAAATAATATTACAGATACTGTAGGTTGTAGATATAAACATAAATATTAAACGAGTTGCCGCCTACATGATTTGACAATATGATCGGTTATATAACCGACTACAATGTCGAATAAATAGGTAAGCTAAGCTAATGACCTAAGGACAAAGACATGTTCTATAGATGGACGGATTATTGTGGTACATCGCAAGCCGTTTACTAATCTGTAATACGTATAGATAGAAGATTTTTACTATAGCACCACATGATATTAATGAAAACATACACGTCAGTATATGACATATACTATATATACACATATATACATTACATATACTATATGTAAATGTATATATGTGTGCCATCCCAGTTGTTATTGATCACGGAGGCAGAACATCAAGTTATGCCTCCGTAGAATCACATTTTGCAAAGAATTACGTAGAAATTAACGGTAGCGGTATTATTTTGGATACGGTACAAATTGCGAATATTGCGATGTCCGTGGAGAATGCCTGTAGTAGGAGATGATTAGGTGATTAGGTATATATCGTAATTTAATTGACCAAGACCTATAAGAAGATTGCACAATAAATGCATTAGTAAGAAAATTTAATATGGCTTAAAGTCCTCATATTATAAAACAGCAGAATATTGCTGATTTTGGCAATATTACGTTTTAGAACCTTTCTGAGTAGGTTTTTTTATTATTTTGTTTATATTCGAGAGTTATTAACACTTTGCAGTATCAACATCTTTAAACTACTGTAAAGTTACCAAAGATAAATTTTTAATAATGTAACAAAATTAATAATTAACAAAACTCTGTATATGAAAGAAACGAAAATAATTAAATCTCACAATATTATTGTGAGATTTAATTATTTTC